CCTAATCAGAATAAAAATGTTTATTTGTCCACTGTCATTTTGCCGAGCTGTCTTGATTTTAGCTGTTATGGGACAAGGAGACAGTACTTATGTCGGTGTGATTGTTACTGCAAAGTGTTGGCCTTAGGGATAATGGTGGTGCATTGCTGTAAAATCAGCAGGTGATGACTTGCAAAGTGAATGGAGTGCACTTCAGAGCCTTGCTGACTGCCCCTCCCTCTGTTCTATGCTGGTACCTGCATTTCACCTGTTTATCCATAAGGGCCCCTCTATGACTGATTGAATAATTGTTTGACAGTTACTTTAATGAAGTGGAAAATGGCAGCCAATATAGCACCTTCTCCAGCTTCTTGCTATGAAACGTAATAAATTACGTTGTAAATAAATTGGCAGAGTTATTAACAAAAAAATATATTTCACTGAATTATATTGACTTTGGTAAAATTGAGTGGATCTACTGCACTAAGCAGCTTTAAAAAATAGGCAAAACAGCAAAAAATTAAATTTCCAGAGCAGAAAAAAGGTATCTTAAATGGATCTGAATGGCCCTGTGGTACGGCACAGAAGGGTCTGCCATCACACCATACATGGCACTGGGGAGGGGACTGCATTATGCAGAACTACCAAGGGGGCATTAAAGGTATTTTTTTTATCTTTAGAAGTGTGTATATTATTCACAGAGATTGTTTTTGGTCTTTCCTCCTCTCTTTGCAATGACCACACACAGGTACACACACGGAGCAGACAGTACTTGCCCTGCAGGGGACGAGCAGATATCTGCCTTCTGTTTTGGGGGAGGTTTTTTTTTTTTGTCCATCTATCAGTGACCCATTACAGAGCAGAATCTGCTCAGACCGTGTGGTAGAGGCAGATTACTCATTTGTGTTTCCAGGATTTTGCTGGGATTTAGTTGTGTATTTTACTTGAAGCATCACATTCCTTCTGGCGGCTCTATTTTACAGCTCTGCTTTGTGACAGGGACACCTGGATCTGAGTATCATTGTATTTGTTTCCGGACATCAGGCATGGCGCCAGGAGGAAAGTGGAGACCGTCACTCTTGTGCCAGCTTCTGCCAAGCTTCATTGATGGCAGCTGCCGGCTGAGAGACATGGGAGAGGTCTGTACACTGTCTAAGAACATGGGGGCCATTGTTGTGTCCAGCCTCCTCCATGGCTGCCCTGCAACTGTTTTTGACGTTGCAATGGTGCAGGGAAGGTTGTAATATGTAGGCAGATGTGTGATTTATGTCAGAATATTTAAACCAAGGGTGCCTTCACGTTTTTTTGGGGATCCCTTGGCAGTATGCCTAAAAAAGTACCAAAAATTGTGTACAAGCCAGCAGATGGATGAAGCCTGCCTTTTAGTTAATAGGTTTTCAGTGTTCACAACTACAACCCTAAGCCGCCTGCGTCCTAACCACCAATGACATCATTGGTTGATAAGGAGGGTTCCTGTACAGCATTCTGGTTTGCCCCTCTCCATCAGCACTGGGGTCACATTAGATGAGTGAGGGAGAGAAACTGAGGAATACGAGAAATGCTGGAATATTAGTCAAAGTGTGCTTTGGAAGAATAAATCACCTCTGATTTTGGGTGTCCTGTGTGTCGATGTTGCTGCATTATGTAAAAGTATTTGTTTAGTTATTTATGTTTTAGAATGGGTGCCTTGATATTGTGCAGAATTTTGAAGGGTGCCTTGACTAAAAAAAAAAGTTGAAAAAACACTGAGTTATGTATTAATGTGGTTCTAAAGGCTCAAGGTATTTTATTTTCATGTATTCTATGCATCGGTTCTCCAGGGACTCTTACTCTCCTGATTGGCTGAGGCTGCAACGGGAGCCATTGGCACGTGCTGCTGTTAATCGCAGCTAGTGAGCCAATCAGGAGGTGGTGGGGCCAAGCCACGGCTCTGTGTGTGGACATGCAGAACCACGGCTCGGGAGCGTGCCTACTTGGGTGCCCCTATAGCAAGTTGCTTGTTGTGGGGGCACCCGACAGGAAGGAGGGTCCAGGAGTGCCTGTGGAGGATCAAAGAAAAGGAGGAAAACCTTGCAAAACCACTGCACAAAGTAGGTAAGTATGACATGTTTGTTATTTAAAAAAAAAAAAAAAAAAACAATCACTTTAACCCCTGTGACATTCTGAAGATTTTACTGTTTATTCCAGTATACAGAGAATGGATCGTGGTGTATGGGGAAGGAGGAGGAAAAATACCAAAATGTTTGTTAAAAGGAATCCACCATCAGGCTAAACACCAGAAAAGGCTTCGGTAGAGGCTTCCATTCTTCATCTTTACAGCTGCATAGCACTTTCACGGCAGACCCTTCAATCTGTAGTAATGCTGAATAGGCGAACCATGGCAGCTCCTATCAAAGGCTTCACAAATGTGTAGCACTACCAATTTTCCAGCCTGGACAAATTGGGTGGGAATTTCCTAAAACTGGAACAAACAAAATCTGGAGTAGCTGTGCATAGTAACCAATCAGTTGTAATCTTCAGCTTGTTCAGTTAAGCTTTGAAATTGAAAGCTTGAAATGAATTGGTTACCATGCACAGTTGCTCCAGATTCTGCCTGCTCCAGTCTTAGTAAATGGTAAAATTACTGTTGTGTCAACAGATGTCTTGCAGAATGCGCACCCTGCTGTGTTGTAGGTGTGTATATGAGTGTGTGCAGGGTATCTGGAGGCAGCTGAGTTGCTACAAACAATAGCTAGATCTGCACTTTATAAAGTATAGAAACAATCACAATATACAGACAAAGGGCAGGGTAATTGCCTCTTCCATGGTAGTGGCAGTGATTGTATGGAGTGTAGGACTCATGCACACTGAACATAAAAAATACACCATTTGTACAGAAAGATGACTTTCTTCTGCCTGTAAATGCACCTCTATGTGTTCAGGCAAACAAAGGCATTTACAGGTGTATTAGAAGAGGAACGTTTACAGGCTGAACAAAAAACATCACCGGCACACTCAGGAGAGGAGCGTTTCAGCAGAAAAATGTCTTAATGTACCTAAACGCTATGCACATTTAGCACCTGAGTGTTCATTGCAATGGCTAGAATGAATTACTGTTCTGGCCAATTATAAGTGTTACTAAACCCACAACAGTAAAATCCATCTGTATATGCAGTAAAGCATGCTTGTTATACTCTCTGTGGAACCTAAGGGGTTAATCAGCACTGTCCAGACAGAGGGGTAGAGGTCCTACAGCCTCATAGAACATTCAGGGGAGAATGAAAACTCATCTTACAAGCTGTATCCAGTGCTCTGCTGGACACTGATAGAAGTCACAAGACTGCTCTAACTGCTGATTGGAAAAGGTATTTAGCAGTTTATATTTACTAAAATAATTGCCTTTCCATGTTCTGTGTACTGAGGGAGACCAGATATAGTGAATGCAGAGTCCTGGGTTTAGTAATGCTTTATGCTCAAATGCTTGATGTGCCCAAACGTGTGTACAAAACATTGCTTGCGTGTTTTTAATCAGGTTTTTACCTACCAGGAGAAAAGGTGGCTGTTCATATACAGCGGTCAGCATTGGTGTGCACTGGTATATGTGTGCCAATGATGGCAGTGTTTGTACATAGCAGTGTGTCAGTATGCTTTATCAGACTTTAACTGGAGAAGATGTTCCCAGCCTCCCTCTGTATCCTCTGAGTAAGCATTGCGTATAAGCACCAAGGACAAGATTTACGAAGTACTAAGCCTAATTACACATTCTGATGAAAACTGTAATACCTGCAGATAGTCTGATAACAAAGTAGAGGAAGGGCAGTTGTGTCCATTACCCAACATCTGTTTGATCCTGTACTGCGCGTCCACCACAGCCATACATCTGGGATTAGATGCTATACTCAGTTGTCACCGATTACAGTTTTGGAAGTGTGAAAATTGTTACTTGGTGTATTCTCAGACTAATCTCTAGGTTTCATTTTTCCTTAATTTGTTGCCTGTTGCAGGAAGATTCTGCCCCCCCAAAAAACAGAAGCGGGTGTAACTGGTTAGCATGAGCCGCCCTTAAAAGTGGAATTCTAGCCAGAATTTTGTTTTGAGTAGAGTAGGGACCCCGTGTCAGGTTTTATTGTTGTCTTCGTCCCCACTTACTACTCACTTGCTGTTCCATTGATTACCTCACATACTATAGAATCCAGTCCTCCCAGCTCTATATAAAACTAAAAAAAAAAAAAAAAAAAATAGGACTGGAGTTGGGTTTTAGGACATGTTGATAAATATAGATGTCATGCAAACAGCCTGGCATTTCTTAAAGGCAGGTGACCCAAGACAGTTTTTGGATGAAGTGACCCTTTAAGAAGAAATAATGAAGCTAGTGTTCTGAGACTTTTCATACCTATATAGGTAAATGTAATGGCATGATATCAATCTCTGGTGCTGCCTGTCCAGCATCCACATTTATATTATATTGGATTGGTAGTTTTAGGTTAGTAAATGTATTTCTGTGGTACTCAGTGTTACATGATGTCATGGTGCTGCCAGTCCAGCTTCCAAGTATATTATATGAGAAAAGTGTTTGTCACATTGCCTGGAACCTGCTGGGAGGGTGGAGGTGGAATGTTCTGACCTGTGGGACCAATTTATGATAAAACAAAGAAAATGTGAAGCCATTAATCCCTAAAAAATCAACAAGGTTTCATCTTTAATTTTATTACCTAGGCTTGGGAAAATGAAACAAAGGCTTTGATTTGTTCTATAGCATACAGTTCCCCATTTGCTCCAGTTTTCCTTCATACACGGCGCTCCTGGTCCATAGCACAATGGCTCTGTGGACAGCCAGCACTGTGAAGGACATCTTTGTGTCTATTAGTGATATCCCTGATTCATCTCACACATAGCAGCCAGCATGCTGCTTCCTAGGCCAGAAAGAATTTGCTCTTTTTTGTGTCACCCCTCCACACAATGTCTGTCTGTGTCTGTGCCAGTTAACCGTCCAAGTGTCTTGTGATTCTTGGAGTAATGTTGGTCTTATGCTGTCTGTACAGTGTCCCGGAAACACGGCAAGCTGATCACATTCCTGAGGACCTTCATGAAGTCCAGACCCAGCAAGCAGAAGCTGAAGCAGCGTGGGATCCTGCGGGAACGGGTGTTTGGTTGCGACCTCGGGGAGCATCTTCTCAACTCTGCCCAAGATGGTAAGAGCTGCTATTCCTGACATCTGCTGGAACTGATATTCTAAATTAGGTGTGGGATCAAAGCCGTTCTAACATGCTTCTGTTTTTATGGGGGAAGATATGCAGTTTAAGATGACAGATGTGCAATGTAAGGTGGAGGATATGCAGGAGAGCAGTACATGGTGGAGGACATGCGATCGGAAGCAGTGAATGGTGGTGGATATGTAGTGTGGGCCGTATACTGTGGAGGATATGCAGTGGGGGCAGGGTATGAGCAATTTGGGCAGTGTATGGCAGAGAATGAGCATTTGAAGCAGTGTACGATTGAGGATATGCAGTGGGGGCAGTGTATGGTGGAAGATATGCAGCAGAGGCAGTATATAGTGGCTGATATGCAGTGGAACAGTGTATGGCAGAGAATATGCAGTGGGAGCAGAATATCATTATATGCAGTGGGGGCTGTATATGGTGGAAGATATGACGTGGGAGGCAGGGAACATGAGAGAATACGTAGTGGGAGCTGTGTACAGCAGGGGATATGCAGTGGGGACAGTATATGGCAGTATAAGGATTTGCAGAGGTATAAGTGGAAAGTGATTAGATCTCTGCATATTGTGATGACACTGGGGCCCTTACCTTTCTCGTACATCACCCCCTCACACAATGAACAGGTTAGACTGGAATTTTGTGCGCACGGTATCTACTTATCTGCTTTGTTGTGGATCACTCGTATTACCAGCTCTAGTTCTGTCAGGAAAAAACAACAAAACTCACAGCTCAGAGCTTCTCTGGCAGAAGAGAAATGCATTGTATTTCAGCACAAGTCACTGTGTATTTTATGTTTTCTTTATTTAGAAAAAACTTATAACTAGTGGTATCTGAGTGTTGTCAAAGGTAAACTAGAATAACAATGTCCTTGCCCTAAGATTCCTACATTAGCTGAGGTAGGAAAAGTCATAACGATTGTTCAGCTACTCTGCACAGTGGCACCTAGATGAGATCATGTGGATCTGGAATATCCAGTGTGCAATGTACCACCACATCTAATCTGATGGCTTTACATGTGTGGTCACTGCCATAGGATATGTTTGTTCAGTTTGTGGTCCAACATCCTTACAAACCTGAGTGCAAATGGTAGTGCGACCCAAAGAACCCAACCAGAATTTTACCATACAGATTTCCGATTAGCTTCTAGAGCTGTCATCTTTATTTCATTTTGCTCAAGAAGTTTATATACTATCATGACTACCTTCACAGACCTATCTCTCCGCTACCACCAATCACATTGCTGTCTTCCATAAAAAATGATGGTTTCCATCTGAAAGTCATCCATTGCTGTATGGATATACTAGTCATCTGTCTACTTTATACCGTGTGCAATAGGCACTTAGAACATTGGATGAGCAAGACTCAAACACAGCCTAGCAAGATTATCAAAACTCTTATTAAAGGGAGGTAACCTGCTGTTGTGTTACTGAATGTAAAACAAATTGGGTGCCCTTTGTACATGGAAAAGTATCTGTAGCTATAATTGGTTGCATTCAGTGTAGATAAAACAGTCTGTTTCATATTAGAATTGGGAAAAATGTAAGAATTTATGAATAACATCTTTTTCAGCCTCACTAACAAACTTCTGATTGGACCTTTGATGTGCGCTCTAATGACTACATTGCTGTTTGATTTGCTATGTTTGATGTAGCAAATTGCCTGTCACACTTCAGTTACTGTCACTCTCCTCTGTTGTATAGCCTGTGGTGTTCTGTCAGTCTCACAGCACATAGGCTAAGACAAGCCTTCAGCACTGAGTGCATGTCTCTACCACAGGGCATCCAGTGTCAGGAGGACCATGACATTGAAGGGAAGGCATAGAAGTGACTTGCTGATATATATGCAGCACGTTGTAGCTATAATTACAGGGCAGAGTTTGCAGTATGGGGTGTGACTCCTGGGAATCTCAGGATACTGGAAGAAGTGACAAGCTGAATACCTGAAACCAGGTGTGAGAGTTACACCTGGCAGAGTCTCCTCCTGTCTCTGTTATTGAATAGGCAAGATCTAGGCTGTCTCTGCCCCTTCATTACAACACCAGGCCATCAGCTAGCAGCAGAGATCACAAACGATATATAGACAATTCCATTGTGTGTAACCTGATTGCCCCATTGTTCACAATCTTTCTGTAGTGCTGGGTAGGAAAGAAATCTGACCATGGGACATTATCACTTGTATCAATTTACTTTTGATACCTAAAGATTTAGTAACTGTTGGACATTTTCAGACCCTAAACAGTGTGACTAAGGCTGGCCACAATTTCCTTGTACAATTTTTCTTCACATTTACCAAAACCATATAATATGAAGTCAAACCTAAACACTTTCAATTTCTATCCAATCAGGCAGGCCCTTGCACTACATTGTTGAAGGTAAATCTAAGGGAAATTGAATAAGAAAATAGTTTAATGTATGGCCAGCTTAAGTTTCTGTTTGGGTATCTCGTTCTTGTTCTGCTCATACGATGCAGAGATGTGACTGCAGTCATGATGGGGGATGGTCTGTTTACTCCAGTGCTTTGCATATTTGTCCTGAGGAATAGTTGGGAAGAGCCCAGGCATGTTACGCCTTTGTGTTGTGTCTAAAGGCTTGGAGAGTCATGTGACCCTCCTCTACCCAGCTGTGCGCAGATAGTGAGCCCTGTCTGCTGGAAATCTGAGATATTGTGGAGAAGAATCCGTAAATGACCTACTGTATATCACTAAGCCCATGGAATTGTATATCTGATGAGCGCCATAAATGTGTTAGGAAAGGTTTCTGTCTTTTCTATTCATTCCGGAACGCAGCATAGCCGGTACTATCAGGCATCAGCATTTAGCAGTTTTGCACAGCCAGACTTGAGTCAACCAACCAGTTTATAAAGGTGATGCAACTGTGCAATTATCATTTAGTATCTGGATTAACATACAGGTCGTATCAAGCACTATGGTGCATGGAAACATCTTCCAGCATGCTTGTAAACCTGTCATCTACAACAGCACAGGTTGTGTAGAAGGGATTATCAGTCACATTCAACTAGACTTGTTCTGTAATGTTAAAACGTTTTTTCTGCTTTTCCAGACAGCTTCATCAGTTTTAGTTCAGCTCAGCTCCAATTGAATGGGACTTACTTCAGTTAGCTATACCATGATCCGGATAAGTGAGAACCTTCAGACATTTATGTTGGAGTTCACCTGACAGATAAAGAAATGTTTCCTCGGATTGTATCAACGATTGGTTTAATGTTGCCATGTATTAAAAAATTAAAACTGGGAGCGTCCATTTGGAATATTTAGCTCCTTGAAGTTTAGTTTTCAACATTCAACAACCCTGTCACAGCCAGAACTTACCATCCCACCGTTCATTGTCACAAACATCAGCAGCATTTTTACCTCTAGATTTCAGAGAGGACAGAGGATTATAGAGATTCCTATGAGCGGATTGTTGGCCTGGCACTAACATTGTCCAAAGGTTTCCATGATTATACATTTTATCACAGACACCACAATTGGATTTAGAATTTGCTGTGTTTTGGGTTAGCAGCATAGTTTCTCAATAAGAACTGTGTTTGGTTTTCACCATTCTTGAAGATGCTGATTGCAGTGATCACTCTGGGGGTTTGACTAACCCTCCCGGGATCCCCATTTTTTTATATGCGAAAAGCTGTGAGCATTAATATGAAGAGTTAATAGCAGCTGCACTGTGGGAGGCACTCTGCCAGCATCCAGCTGCACAGACAGGACAGTAATTCTCTGAATGACTTTATTAAGTGCTCTGTGGTGTTATTATAAAGCGAATGTTCACTTCATTGTCTGCTGTGTGGGCAGGAAATTGCTGTTTTGTTCATCTGGCTCTGATGTGGTTTCTAATCTGTTCCTCCTACTTCTACCTCTATAAAGTACCCCAGGTCCTCCGAAGCTGCACAGAGTTCATAGAGAAACATGGCATTGTGGATGGAATATACCGCCTGTCTGGGATTGCCTCCAATATACAGAAACTACGGTGAGAGATTCTCATTTCGCTGGTGCCTGGCATGAAACAAAATGCAAAAGATATATAGACATACAATTATGATAATCTACAGTATGTATTGACAATCAAATATTGCAGTATAGTGGACTACATCATTATTATCTGAAAACATGCCTTATAATGAGATACAGAGCGCAGAACTGTATTAACACAAAATATATCCTATTTTCATCACTGTTGAAAGACGTGGGGCAAAGTATCGATAGTGGGATCTGCAGTAAACATTATTATTATTAGTATTTTGCACTAATTCTGTTTTATGTTGACCTGTTAAGACATGAGTTTGACTCGGAGCAGATTCCAGACCTCACTAAAGATGTCTACATCCAGGATATTCACTGTGTTGGCTCCCTGTGTAAACTCTACTTCCGAGAGCTCCCCAATCCACTGCTGACATACCAACTCTATGAAAAATTTTCTGTGAGTATAGTACCATTAGCAGATCTGCTTCACTCTGGGTGTACCTTCATATGCTCACCTCTCTGACATATATACAGCACCTAGGGTGTACATCTCTACACTCGCCTCTCCAACATATACACAGCACCCGCTGTGTATGTCTATACACTCACCTCTCTAATGTACAGTGCCTTGAAAAAGTATTCATACCCCTTGGAATTTTCCTTTTTTGTTTTTTGTCATGTTAGAACCAAAAAACGTAAATATATTTTATTGGGATTTTATGTGAAGGACCAACATAAATTGGCACATAATTGTGAAGTGGAAGGAAAATGATAAATGGTTTTCAAAATTCTGTACAAATAAATATCTGAAAAGTGTGATGCACTGTAGATTTAGCTCTTTCATCTCATGGAAATTTTATATCTGTGACATACTATCACAGACTTTCTACAGCTACATATACAAAGCAATGTGATATAAATGCAGCAGAGGATGAGATTTCCAGAAGGATGCAAAATTGTTTACTTCAAAATAGGCTATCACAATATAATGTAGACAATATCAGAAACTGTACAGTTTTGATCAACCATGCCACTGATAAAGCAGTACAGCTGGCCCTCTTGTACTGGGCCCGGGCATCTTCCCAGCAGGAAGGCCAGCTGTTCTGTCTTGTGATTCTTGTGAATTACCCAGGAGCACTGCCAACTTTTTCCATTCAGCTACCATGCAGGGTATCGGGTCTAGTATCTGTACATATTTATTGACCCTTCCTTTCCTGTATGAACACAGTGAGCAATCGGTACCAATCTCTCCTGTGTTCATTCATCACTGATGCATAGTAAGTTGCATTTATTATGCTTCAGTTTGTTTGTGAGTGAACAGGAAGCTGCACAGCACAGAGCTCTTCCCATACATTCACTGTCCAGTGCAGCTGAGGCTGCAGAGAAAGGGACTGAAGAATCTCTTCTCTGTCTCAAATGTGATACATCAGGGGTCTGATATTTCACCAAAGCCCCCCCCCCCCCCCCCAACAGGGCTGTTGCAAAATGTAAAAATAAATAAAATAAAATTTGAAAAAAAAAAAAAAAGGGCTTGTTCACCTGTTCTTTGCTGTCTGAAGAGCAGTGAGCTCTTTAGAGAGCATTTGACGGATAGTGAGGAGGCACTATTGCCTTCTCACCACCTGCATTCTAATACACCTAGAAGCACGTGGTTGCAGGGTGCTGTTCATTTGAATGGGTTTTTGTTTGACGAGAGTATAATATAATTTAATATTTGGGGGGGGGGGGGTCGTTGGGTAAGCTGTACAGGGGTACAGGGCCTTGTGATTTCTAACAGCAGTCCTGTGTGTGTGTAATATATATATATATATATATATATATATATATATATATATATATATGTATGTTGTGTGTGTATGTATGTATATATATATATATATATATATATATATATATATATATATAGTCCTCCTTTTGAAAAGTGAGGTTTTAATCCATATCTCCAGACACAAGAACAGTTTTCACAATTTTGACAAAACAGAGTTTTATTGAACAATTGTTTAGCTCATTGCATGAAAGTAAGGTAATAATATAACTTAAATTACAAATTCTTTAGTTTTACTCAAATTAGTTGGTGGAAAAATGAATACACCCCACAACAAAAACTACTGCATCTAGTATTTTTTATGACCTCCATGATTTCTAAGAACAGCACAAAGTCTTCTAGGCATGAAATTAACAAGTTGGGACATATTGCAACATCAATCTTTTTCCATTCTTCAAGAATGACCTCTTTTAGAGCCTGGATGCTGGATGGAGGGTGATGCTCAAATTGTCTCTTCAGAATTCCCCATAGGTGTTCGATTGGGTTCAGATCAGGAGACATACTTGGCCACTGAGTCACTTTCACCCTGTTCTTCAGAAATGCAACAGTGCCCTTAGATGTGTGTTTTAGATCATTGTCATGTTGGAAACGTGCACAATGACCAAGGGCACGGAGTGATGGTAGCATCTTTCAATATAGATCAGTACAGCTGTGAATTCATGATACAATCAATGAACTGCAGCTCCCCGATACCAGCAGCACTCATGCAGCCCCACAGAAGGACATGTTTCACTGTAGGCACCATGCATTTTTCTTTGTACTCTTCACCTTTGTGACACCATACAGTTTTAAAGCCATCAGTTCCAAAAACATTTATTTTGGTCTCATCACTCCGTGCAGAGTCGCAGTAGTCTTCTTTTTCATCATGGGCCCTGGCAAATTCTAAGGGGACTTTTTTTGCGCATGGGCGTTAGGAGAGGCTTCCTACGTGGACGACACCTATGCATGCCATTCCTTTGCAGTGTACACCGTATTGTGTCACAGGAAACAGTCACCCCAGTTTGGCTTTCTACTTTAGCTAACTGCAGTAAACTTGCATGGTGATTTTCTTCAGTCCTTATCAGAAGATGCCCATGTGGAGGTGTTAACTTCCGTGGATGGCTTGGACGTCTCTGTGAGATGGTTACAGTTCCATCTTTAAGTGTTTTTATCATTTTTGCTACAATATTCTGACTCATGATCTTGCTGATCTTCTTGTAGCCTTCACCTTTCTTGTGTAAAGAAATTATTTTCTTTCTCAGGCTTTGGGACATTTCTCTTCCATGTGATGTCACACCCTTTTATAATCAACTGTCTGCTGGAGAGCTGTTTAATGAATAATTAGACTCACCTGTAGTTGAATTCTTGTTAATTAGGATTTTGTTGTCTAAAATTTAGCTTTGCTCCTAAAACTTTCATTGGGGTGTATTCATTTTTGCAACATGGTCTTGAATTAATTTGTTAGGAAAAATACTTTTTTGGTGTGTGCAAATCTTGAATGCAATCAATGGCCAGCATTTGTGGGAGTATTTTCATACATCTTGCACATAAACCCTTAACATCTTGCACTAAGTTACACAAGGGAACATATCTGTGTTGCCTGTGAAAACCAGGATTCTCGTAGTCATTACTTCAGTGCAAGTTCGTTTTTTGACAGATACATTTTACACAGTGAGTCTTTTTAGATCTCCTAATCTGCATTTTTATTTGTTCTACATAACAGGACGCTGTGTCGGCCGCAACAGATGAAGAGAGACTAGTGAAGATCCATGATGTCATTCAGCAACTGCCTCCTCCACATTACCGGTCAGTCCATGGCCTGTTATCCTCTCTCTTTCTTATACCAGCCACATGAGCCTTACAACTTTAAGATGGGTGAAATATTGATCCTTCTTATGTTGAGTAAAGCAAACAGTTGATTGATCACAAATAATTTTCAACATGCTGTCACAGGTACCAGTGATCACTCATTACTCCCCTGCTTTACAGTCCAGTTTTGCAAGCGTTGCTCATGTTGGTTGCAATACTTGCTGCTATCAGACAGTGTGTAGCCACCAAATAATTGTTCTTAGACGGTCTTGAATTTATATGGACTGTCCTTCCTGCCTTTTCAGGGTTGGTACGAATCAAATTTTCAGCTGTCTTTCTCCAAGCTTTTGTGTAGTGGTAACTACGATTAGATAACTACAGGTGGGGAAAGGGATGAGGTGTGTTCATCATAAGTACTCTGGAGCATACTGCTTATTCAAGCTCTATTATGGCAGCTGGGGGCTGGAGCATCTGCACAGTGAGGCTGACATGATAGGAGCCAACATATCAGACTGGGACTTGCAGCAAATGGATCACATATACAACATTGTCAGACGGAGGAATAATGACCCTTCACTGTCAAACATGAGGTTGTATTATTATTACGTGGGCAGCCCTGGCTGTGAGTGTTGGCCTATTTGTATTTCATTCATCATTGTCTGGGAATTATCAGTCCCTGCTGCTGCCTCTCTGGGTCTGGCATGATGAAATGTGGAGGGGACGGTCATGAAAGAACCTGTCTACAGGCTCACTAAATCCCCACAACAACAGGTTAATTTATTCTGCAACATTCTCTGTCTTGGTGGAATCCATGCACCATGTATAATTTATCAGGCTGTGAAACAGACAACATTTGCCATTATTGAACTCGGGGGACTGGAAGTGTCTGCTTTTAACACATCAGTGCAGAATTATAACAGCCACAGAATTTCATAGAGGAGTGCAGAATAAAGGAAATGCTTGGATTGGAGGAAAAAAACTGTTGTACAGAGTTGGGCTTGTCTCATAAGGGAGATTAAGAATCAGTAGACATGAGCAAAGTATTGTCTTTTAGAGTTGAAGTTTAACCCTGGCTTTTTTTTCTTTGCCTTTTTTCCTTCCCTGGTTTCTCCGTTCCCTTCTTATTAAAATGCTAATGATATTTAAAGAAAAAAAACATGTTTTATTACATACCTTATTATCACCCCAGTAATGTAATCACTAGGACTCTGTGCTTCTCTATACAATGCAGGCAGATCATGGCTGGTGGGAGATGCTGGTAAGGTGCTGTACATAGCTTTCTGAAAACATAACAGCACCCTGTTGCAGTACTCTCAAGAAACCTCTGCCCTGATGCAAGCAGAGGGGTGTTTCTTTTGGTTGAGGTTATGCAATTATCAAAATGCCTTGATGGAGGGATCTCAATCAGGAGGACTGGGTGTTCCCATTTGCTTGTAGACTAGGCTAGGGATCACCCACATCTGATGCTGAACCTCTATGATTGAAAGAACTGAAATCCAATGAAAGGGTTAGGCCAGAGACATTCAGGCTGTGTTTGAAAGGACTATATGATGCTGAACATCGTCCAGCTAGGTCATTACTTTCTGCAGCTTCTAGTGCACAATGTGAGAAGCTCACAGTGTGCAGTGAAATCAGAGTAAGCTATTTCAGTACAGGCGAGTACAACTATGCAAGACTGAAGTCGAGGCTGGAAGGCAGATTTAACCTCTTCACACCGGCGCCTCCTGGCCCTTTAAGGGGTTTCAGACCCTGGGAGGCGGGGCAGGGTTTTTTAGAGTCATGTGACCGCCGTGATTCGCTGTCACGGCGATCACATGATCGGAAAAGGTCCCGATTGCAAGGGGAGATTGGGGCCTTTCTGTGAGACACCACCATATGTGCTTGGAGCACCCAGGGTGTGCGCTCTCAGCACATATGTGTTTTCAAATGGTACGCAAATATGCGGCCGCTTGGTGTCAAGGCCCAGCCACCGAGAGGCCGCATATTTGCGTATGGTCGGCATCAAGGAGTTAAAGAAGCTCAACAGGGTAATAGATTGCGGATAAGTTTTTAATACAAGAGACACATAACCTGGTGATAGCTGTGATGTTATGACCATATGGTATGTACAGCTTTAGTCACAAATAATATGAATCTCAGTGTTCTCCTATCATAATGTGCATTGCTAGGTTTTGTATTTTTTATATCTTCTTCTCACATTATGTAAGGTTATGCTATGTTGCATATTGATATGTACATGTGAATATTAGATTACACGTCCCAGGCTAGTAGCTGGTAATAGTCATTTTATGAGTGGATTTATCATGGAAGACTTTATCGAGGAGTGTAACTGTCATCTTATATTTGCAGGACGCTGGAGTTTCTTATGCGCCATTTATCCCGCCTTGCAACCTACTGCTCCATCACCAACATGCACACCAAGAACCTGGCTATTGTGTGGGCCCCCAACCTCCTCCGGTATGGGACCGTTACATCTCGGTATGGTACATGAATGAGTAGAAGGCCTATCCTTGTTTTTTTTCCATTTTTTTGTGGTTCTGACACTAGAGCAGGACCAAATACTGATTTCTGCTGCACAGTTCTATTTTCCAAACATCCATCACTATACAGAATGTACAGGAGAAGAAGCCATGTCCCTGGCCCAGAAGTCAGTGAGTACTGGACCATTCCAGAGCTCTGAGGATCCCAGCTAGGAGGCTGCCTACACTACTGTGTTTGATTAGTGATCTGGCAGAAGGAGCCGAGCCACAATGATAAACATCTGTTACATGAAGCCAAATTGTTCTCTGTGGTTATCAGAAAGGAAGAATGCTATTACCATGAATTCTCTTCCAGCCAAAAGAGAAGACTCATAATTAAATACTGGTTCCTTTGATGTTAAATTTTGTTTGTTTTGCCCACCAACATTTCCTTGGTGATTTTGAAATAATCACCAAGCATGCCTCCGCATCATTTTTCTTTTACCCTGTTTCCATAGTGAGGAATCACTCTCTGTGGTATCATAAGCAGACTTTTTGCAGCATCAGCTGCTGGGAGCTCCGTTCTTATAGATGAATGAATCTTCCAGAACTACATCCCCCTAAGAGCTCTTTCCTTACACACAGTGGGAGCACAGTGGAGCCCTTTCCCTACAAACAGCGGTAATAGCATTGAAGGCAGCAGCATTGTTTAGCTTGGAAATAAATCAGTGTATGCATGTAGGGAGGGGCAGAGAGATACTCCGTCAGAGTACTGTAGTGCAGCAGGGTTGACTGCTCTGGTTGAGATTTCACTCTGGCAAAGGCACTGTGTGATAAGCCCAAACATGAAGTTAGGAGCACATTGATTTTGTGGCAAATCATGTGGTATTTTTTTTTCTGTGCTGGAGAAATGTGAACATATTATTGGAAATGTGCCGAAAAAAAAAAAAATATATATATCTTTTTTTTTTTTTTTTTTTAACTTTCACTCTTTTCTGCTGGCTGTATGAATATGTATTGTAGCACAGAGGTAAGCCTTATCCCGTGCTGAAATACATATGCATCATTTATACACCCCCAGCACTGTGACCATGCTGTCTCCGACAGATCCTGGTAAGCGAACGGCAACCAGGAGCCAGTAGGTCGAGTTTCCGAAGTTGTGATCAACAGCTGATCACATGATGAGGAGGCCCATGAAATGTCTACCCTTCATTCAGGCATCACAATCATTCAACAGCTGGTGGAGCCAGTGATAAGCAGTTAAACAGAATTGGTGTGATAAGGTAGTAAATACCTTTCTAAAGGGATTTTTAGCCTAAAATGGAAGCTGATCTGAACTACAGACCATTGACAGTGAAATCCCACTTCTCTATACTGCTGCCATGAATAGAATAAAACTGGAATCCGACACAGCGCCTGTTTGGTGTAGAGAACAGAGACCCCCCCCCCCCCCCTTAGGTTTCCCCTTTTACACAATCTTTGCTTATGCTGTTCCCTTTTTCTGCACAGTTCAGTGCTTGTTGATGTCCCCATTGCGTCTATACATATAGTGTCTCATGGTACCGCCTTATCACTGTGTAGCTCAATGATTTATAAAATAAAGGAAATTTTCTATCCTCCCCAGTGACTTGCAGCAGAGATGCTGAACTCCTGTTGTTATATATGAGCACTTACTGATTAGCCTTATCATGTCACCAAATATTTCTATGTATGATCACCTCTAGTCTGCTGAACCAGTATTGGAAACAGCAGGAGGAGGGCTTTATTGTAGCTGGACACTGACCCTGTCCTAGATGTGTGTAGTTTGTGGTCCATGACCCTGTATCCATTGCATCACAAATGCTGAAAAATAAATGTTTGTGGTCAGCATAATTATTCCAGCTGTAGTGAATTTTGTACTTTATGGACCAGGCCACTTACAGACAGATGGATTTATTTTCACACTGAGAAAAAGAAAAACTTCCAAAATCCCTTAGACTGCTGTCATCAATCTTTTCTGACCCATATCTATCTCTCGTTTAGATCTAAGCAGATTGAGTCTGCGTGTTTCAGTGGGACAGCAGCGTTCATGGAGGTGCGCATCCAGTCGGTCGTGGTGGAATTTATCCTGAACCATGTGGAAGTTCTGTTCAGTCCTAAGCTCAGCTCTGTCATACGTGATAGTGCAGGTGAGCTGCGTTATGTTGGGGCTCAACAAATATACAGGAGTGTCTAAAACCGGGATAGGAATGCAGTGTATAGAACACTTAGTGCGAGCTGCCAATTCTGACTTGCTTTGAATCATGGACCCACAGCTTGCATGCAGCCTATCATTTCTGTGCTCCTGACTTTCTTGCTTGTCCAAGGTCAATAATTTTGTATGTAGTTAAAGATCTATCATTACAATTTTGGTTACACTGGTCTGCCTCCCATGCTGACACAACCTCCTCTCCCTCAGGAAAGTGTCAGAGCCAAGAGAAAAATGCATTTGGGGTCAGTCTGTCTAACTTCTAGCCATTGTCGGATTTGGCGCATGGAACAGATTAGACTTCACCTAGCTGCATGAGACAAAGTACTACATGTACTTTGCCCCATGGAGGGCAGAACAGTGTAAACACATTTGTAATGATAGATGTTTCTTTAGGTAGGGAACAGGATGGCAGCTCTAGAGCCTGCACCTTAAAACTGAACTTCAGGTATTATATTTATTGCATGCATACATTGGTCCAACGTTGGCTAATGTAAGTACATATACAGTATCTCACACCTGGGGGGTAGCTGACAAGTACTGTTATATCAGGCAATACTACAGTGATAGCAGCGTTCTTCTGGGTGCTGTGCCAAGCAGATATACCTCCTGCACTGCTGCCAACTCATAGAACACCTTGTGATTTTTTTTTAATAAATACAAGGTGTTCTCTGATTGGATGAGATAGAGAGCAGTATGTAAGTATGTATATCTTGGTTATGATATATGCGTACTTACATTGGTCTGAGACAATGTTTGTATGCAATAAAGAACATATATGGAGTTCACATTTTAACCAACAAAAGTTCCGTATTTTGTATATGTACAGGTTCCCTTAAAATAGCTGAGATTTATGTTTCACCAAATCCTCTCTAGCGGCACTTGATAAAATTATTTCAGAGGATTTGAAGATGAAAGTCTAAATACCAGTTGAAAAATAAGGGATGTATTCATTAAAGTGGAGCTCCAGTGTCTGTTGGCTGTTAAAAAAAAAAAAAATAAAAGTCAGCAGCTAAAAAAAAACTGTATCTCCTGACTTTTAAATATCAGCCACTCGCCTGTACCTCGATCAAGCGATGTTTTCTCACTGCAGCTGGGTTTATGGTCCTCCTCTGTCCCTGGCGCCGGCATCTCAATTCTGGGCACTCAGCTGTGACAACTTGTGGATTCACAGCTTTGCTGCCCACTGCGCATGTGCGAGTAGTGCTGTGCTTTGGGACACGTAACAGGTCCCAGAAGACTGTGGAGGACAACCTCTGCTTCCAATCACCTAGGCAGTCAAAGCAGAAGTGGGAGCCGGTACCTGTCAAAATCCCCAAAGATGCCAATCCTTAAAGGGGAGTGGGGGAAGAGTTCTTAAAGCAGAACTTCTTATTTTGGGTGGAGCTCCACTTTAAGGATCAAAGTGTATCTTTTGTGTTCTCTGCAATGTTTAATCACATAGCTGGATAGCTTGGAAAGTTAGTGATTCGAAAGGCTAAATTAAAAAAAAAAAAAAAAAAAAGAAACAAACATGTTCTACTTACCTGCACAGTGCAGTGGTTTTGCAGAGAGCAACCCCATTCTCTTTTATTGGGTCCCCCTGCCAGTGCTCCTGGCTACTACTTCACCCCCCCTCCACCGAGTGCGCCGGAAGATGTGTTGAGGAATGCTGTCAAAGTACAACAATAAAAGTAGTATGTTTTGGGGAGCCATAGTTGTCAGAATTGTATCCAGCAGATGTTAAGCACATCATATGGTTTATTTGAGATACTTTCTCCTTCTTTAGGTCACACATCCCTGTCTCGGCCCAAATCTCTTCTGGTTTCTTCTCCATCCACAAAGCTCCTCAGCCTGGAAGAGGCTCAAGCACGGACACAGGCACAGATCAATTCCCCAGTGGTGGCTGACAGCAAATACATTGAGGTGGGGGAAGGACCAGCTGCCCTGCAGGGCAAGTTCCACACAGTCATTGACTTCCCATCTGAGAGGTGAGAAGGGTCTGGAGTAAGTTTTACATACACATGAATAGCATAGCCAAGTCTGCCATCTAGTGGAGGAGCTGTACAAATGCTTCTGTAATACCAAGTGTAATTTTACCCTGGAGTAGTCACAGCAGAAATAAGCGGTATTTAACATTACATGTTTTTAATTACTTTAAATATCCACTTATTGCTTCCTTCACTTCTACATGAAATAAGGACTGTCAGTCAGAGAAATTTGTTCAGAAATGCTGTGCTTCATCCCCCCCCCCCCCCATACATCTACTCTCCCACCATTTTATGTTTCAGTCTGTCTTTAGCACATGCTCCTCCAAGTATACCATTAGGTTTTAGAAAAGGGAAGGTCACTATGAATTTACAAATGCATTTCCTTTTGTGGAAGATAAAAATTCAAGAAGCTAGAAATACCCTGAATGCCCTTCATTGAGAGGTGAGAGTGGAGAAACAGTAGTACACTTATCTTCCCAGTGAACAGCTGTGCTGGGGAGGAGGGAGGGGGGGTGTCAGGGCAAGTTTGATCATTGAAAGAGAGCACACTGAATTCCCAACACGGTCAGAAAACTGATCACACTTTGCTCTTATGCCTAGTATAGTCAGTTTTTATTAGGAAAGCAGAGGAACTGGCAGGAACACCAGAGATTTCACACAAAGGAAGCAATACAAAGAGAACAGGATAGTTTTTCATTTAAGTACATGGTACAGCAGGCATATATCAGGAATATGAAATGTTGGGTTTACTTATTCTTTAAAGCGATATTAAAGTCATTTTTTTTTTTTAAAATAAACATGTTATACTTACCTGCTCTGTGCAATGAATTTTCACAGAGCAGCCCCAATCCTGCTCTTCTCTGGTTCCCCACCGGCGCTTCTGGTCCCTTCCTCCTGCTGAGTGCCCCCTACAACAAGCAGCTTGCTATGGGGGCATTCAAGTAGGCTCAGGAACGTGCCACTGCTTTGCATGTCCATTCACACACAGCGAAATGTCACCGGCACACCAAGGATCTCCAATGTGGGTCTGAAAAGGTTTTAATGAAGGTTTACATAGTTACAGCAAGGCAACGTTGTGGAGTCACCCCTTCATCAGGCATGTGACATGTGTGAACACACTAAAGAACTATTTAAAGAGCCATCCACCAATAGTTCTTTAGTTTATTCACAATTTGTCACATGCCTGATGAAGGGGTCCTGCGTGACTCCGAAACGTTGCCTTGCTGTAACTATGTAAACCTTCATTAAAGCATTTTCGAACCCACATTGGAGATCCTTGGTGTGCTGGTGACATTTCTCTCCATTGACTCTGCTCTGTTCCAGCCGACGGTCGGTGCACTACCCACCTATGCTTACAGTGTTGGGATTGTGCATTTTCATTCACACACAGAGGTGCAGCTTGGCCAATGGCTCCTACTGCTGTTTCAGCCAATTAGGAGGGAGAGTCCCCGGACAGCAGAGGCTCTCGTGCACATCGCTGGATTGCAATGGGTCGCAGGTGAGTATTAGGCTGGCTGGGAGGGTATGCTTCACACAGAAGGTTTTTTACCTTCATGCATAGGTGTTTTTTTTACCTTCATGCATAGAATGCATAAAGATAAAAATCATTCTGCCTTTACAACCACTTTAACATCATATGCGGCACTACCTGGTGGTGAAATCCTGATGTTGAGTGACCAATTAAAAATTCAAGCCTTTTCACTTTAAATAGTCAGATTGAGCCAAGCTGGACCAACCTCTTTCCTTTACCAATTGCCGTAGCTGCTGTCAACACTGTATAAACTGCACTTTGCTCGAACACAGTGCTATATACTTTACATTGTATGTAGCAGATGCTATATATAGTTTATACAGCACTGACAGTGGCTGCAGCAATTTGAATAATTAGTTTGGGTCAGATGGCCCAATCTATTTTCTCTACTAAGTGCAAGGGGAGATGGAGTTAGGCTTTAAACAATTTCTGATGGTTAGATCTATATTCACCATACATTTCAGACAACAGCATGGTAGTGTGTCTGCAGAAGTTGGGGACATTTTTAATTTTATTCTATAGAGAGGCTCCAGTTATATTTCCAGATCAGTGCTCTTGCTGTGTTGTAAATAATGGATTTATGTTTACCCTCTAAGGAAAAGACCTCCACCTAAGATGAAGAAGTCCCCGGTAGGCAGCTGGCGCTCCTTCTTTAACTTGGGAAAGTCCTCATCATCATCATCCATGTCCAAGAGGAAATTGACCCGCAATCCAAGTGAACCCACTGAGATGAAGGCCATGGCCATGGCAGGTGAGGCATGGGGGAGATTTACTAAAGCTGGTTCACTCAGCATCTGGTGCACCTGTACATGGTAGCCAGTCACCTTCTACTGTCAGCTTGTTCAATTAAGCTTTAGCAATAAAACCTGGAAGCTAATTGGTTTCCATTCAGAAGTGCACAAGATTCTGAGTGAACCAGCTTTAGTACATGAACCCCAGTGTATCTGCTGTATGATTGACTTGGTTGATGTGCTTGATGGCACAGGTCAGATATTCAGCTGGAAATAATTTTTGTCTGTGTAGGAGGAAGAGGTGACACAGGAACCATGCGTTCAGCTAAGAGCGAAGAGTCGCTGAGTTCTCTGCATGCCACTGACAGTAAGTCTGATGCTACAGCTTTATTTGCCATATAGTATGTTGAAATCTTTATTTATTTTGTGATTAGAGGATTGGGTAATGTATGGCTTCTCTAGGAGGAAATTACAAGCTTGTGCTGACCAACAGAAGCAGTCATCCCACAGAGAGATGTAACTGTATATTTTATGCCATTACCGTGACCCACCACAAAAAAACCCTACAAAATAAATTCATTTACTCCTGACGATAGCAGCGATACCACAAGTGTGCTTGTGTCTGTAATAGTGACCCATAAATAGTAGTATGTGTCACGGACGCACGATTGCCACCCTCAACATGCGACGAGCACACGACCGCGACCACCAATACGTTACGATCACAGCGTTCGACCTTCTCACCAAACTCGTGACCGAAGAACTGGCCGATCTAAAACCGCGGTGTGACGTGCGTAACAATACCACACCCAGCTGCACCCTGCACAACGATTTTCCAGTTAATGATCAACCGATCGATGTGCCGTCAGTCTGAGCAATTGTTACTGGGTTGGGTTAATTACGCAACTAACCCTCTACTGCCACCACTTTTTGGACAGAGAAAGGGGAAACTCTCCTTATCAAATATACACTATAATGATTGAAATAAAGGTCTGTATAACACGGTCCACAGGCCCGTTATACAGAGATTAAAACAAACAGTAGCGTCTCTTCAAAGGCAGGAATTCGTGAATTGCAAGTAAGCGCTTAGAAACAGTTTAACACTTTCAGAAAGAAAGATTTATTACTAAAAGATTCAAACAGGTGCAATAAAATATTTACAAAGAAGATGTAACTAAGATATATATATATACACATAGAAAACAGCACAGCAAAGAGATAACAGGGAGAAGTTAAAAGGTTAAGTTACTTGCCATGTTAAGCCTTGAGGTAGCAGATCCAAGTTACAGAGCGAAAGGGTCTTTGATCTCCCGGGTGGTATATTGATGTTAAAATTGGGAGATGTGTTTTGCTTACCTTCAGGCCTACAGCCTGTGTTTTGTAAAGTCCCCCCAGCAAGGAGGGTGGCTCTGAGTAACTGGCCAATCTCTGTTTAGGGAGGGATGTCGGGTGGACTCTGAATTAAAACCAAGAGCTTCATAATCCATGATATGAAACATAGGGGACAAACTGACTTGAGGAATTTTCATTTAATTCTGTCACCTTCTGGTCGGTTTTATGAGGTTACAATTTCTTTCAAGTCCTGGGACAAACTACCTTATCTTGGTTAGGAGGCGCAGGTTTGCACAGGCCTCTGGCTTCATGGGGGGGCTTTGTAGCTCTGGGCCCCCTGCGGTTCTACCTGCTCGTGACTTTTAACACACACACACACATCTGTCACTGTGCCTCACAGGAAGGGAGGGGGAAGGAGAATAAAGGATTACTTTTAATAAAAAGGGGGACTCTGCATCCATCTCTGATGAGCAAGTTTGCTACAGTATGCATTTTATTTTTGGGTGCCGGGTGCTAACACTTCAGGTGCAATTACACAAACTTTGTGCTGCTAGCAATGCACTGGAGTGTGTGGAAGACTAATTTAAAGAAAAGAAAAGAGGCAGTTCTGTAAACAAGCGCACACAAAAGCACGCCAGGAGCTGTAATACACTGTGCTGTGAAGGCTTGGTGGAACCAGGACCTTCCATGCATGCATCTTAGTGCTTGTCATTTATCCTCTTGATTGCACTGAGGTGTTGTTACCATCTCTGATTTTACTAAATAAAATGGTTTTAATCTTTTCTTTGGACTGGAGTTGGATCATCCCTGTATACACAACTAACTGTACTGCTCCAAAGGATTTGTCTACAGAACTTTACTGCGCTGCCTTTTTTCTTTTCTCCAAATTTGTCCTGCCTAAATACACTCACACTTACAGTACCTTGAAAAAGTATTCATACCCTTTGAAATTTTCCACATTTTGTCATGTTAAAAACCAAAAATGTAAATGTATTTTGTTTAAATTTTATGTGATAGACCAACACTAAGTGGCACATAATTGTGAAGTGAAAGGAAAATGATAAATGGTTTTCAGCATTTTTTAGAAATAAATATCTGAAAAGTGTAGCGTGCATTTGTATTCAACCCCCCCGAGTCAATACTTTGTAAAACCATCTTTCGCTGCAATTACAGCTGCAAGTCTTTTTGGGGATGTCTCTACCAGCTTTGCACACCTAGAGAGAGACATTTTTGCCCATTCTTCTTTGCAAAATAGCTCAAGCTCTGTCAGACTGAATGGAGAGCGTCTGTGAACAGCAATTTTCAAGTCTTGCCACAGATTCTCAATTGGATTTAGGTCTGAACTTTGACTGAACCATTCTAACACATGAATATGCTTTGATCTAAACCATTCCATTGTAGCTCTGGCTTTATGTTTAAGGTCGTTGTCCTGCTAAAAGGTGAACCTCTGTCCCAGTTTCAAGTCTTTTGCAGACTAACAGGTTTTCCTCTAAGATTGCCCTATATTTGGCTCCATCCATCTTCCCATCAACTCTGACCAGCTTCCCTGTCCCTGCTGAAGAAAAGCATCCCCACAACATGATGCTGCCACCACCATGTTTCATGGTGGGGATGGTGTTTTCAGGGTGATCTGCAGTGTTCGTTTTCTGCCACTCATAGCATTTTGCTTTGCTCACCAGTGCTCACCAGAGCACCTTCTTCCACACTTTTGCAATGTCCCCCACTTGAGTTCTCGAAAACTACAAATGGGACTTCCTATTGCCTTTATGGAAGGGTGGCAAGAAGAAAGCCATTGTTGAAAGAAAGCCATTTTTGTGGAGTGCACGAATAATAGTTGTCCTGTGGACAGATTCTCCTACCTGATCTGTGGATCTCTGCAGCTCCTCCAGAGTTACCATGGGTCTCTTGGCTGCTGCTCTGATTAATGCTCTTCTGTCAGTTTAGGTGAATGGACATTTCTTGGTAGGTTTGCAGTTGTGCCATACTCTTTACATTTTCAGATGATGGATTGAACAGTGCTCCGTGAGATGCTCAAAGCTTGGGATATTTTTTTATAACCTAACCCTGCTTTAAACTTCTCCACAATTTTATCCCTGACCTGTCTGGCATGTTCCTTGCTCTTCATGATGCTATTTATTCACTAATGTTCTCTAACAAATCTCTGAGGGAAACACAGAACAGCTGTATTTATACTGAGATTAAATTACACACAGGTGGGCTCTATTTACTAATTAGGTGACTTCTGAAGTCAATTGGTTCCACTAGATTTTAGTCCCACTATATTTTAGTATCAGATTAAAGGGGACTGAATACAAATGCACGCCACACTTTTCAGATATTTATTTGTAAAGAATTTTGAAAACCATTTATCATTTTCCTTCCACTTCACAATTATGTGCCACTTTGTGTTGGTCTATCACATAAAATCCCAATAAAATACATTTACATTTTTGGTTGTAACATGACAAAATGTGGAAAATTTTCAAGGGGTATGAATACTTTTTCCAAGGCACGGTACAGTAACTAAAATACTTTTTTTTTTTTACTATTACTGAGACACACTGACACTTCCCCTGCGCTAGTTACATTTTTGTTACATTTTTTTGTGAAGACTTCTCTAGCAAGGAGGAAAATATACATTATATACACTGCTCAAAAAAATTAAAGAGACACTTTGAAAACACATCAGATCTCCATGGGGAAAAATATCATGCTGGATATCTATACTGATATGGACTGGGTAATGTGTTAGGAACGTAAGGATGCCCCATCGTTTGATGGAAATGAAAATTATCAACCTACAGAGGACTGAATTCAAAGACACTCCGAAAATCAAAGTTAAAAAATGATGCAGCAGGCTAGTCCAATTTGCTAAAATTTCATTGCAGCAACTCAGAATGGTACTCAGTAGTTTGTATGTCCCCCATGTGCTTGTATGTATGTCTGACAATGTCGGGGCATGCTCCTAATGAGACGACGGATGGTGTCCTGGGGTATTTCCTCCCAGATCTGGACCAGGGCATCACTGAGCTCCTGGACAGTCTGAGGTGCAACCTGGCGGTGTCGGATGGACCAAAACATGATATCCCAGAGGTGTTCCATTGGATTTAGGTCAGGCGAGTGTGGGGGCCATTCAATGGTATCAATTCCTTCATCCTCCAGGAACTGCCTGCATACTCTCGCAACATGAGGCCGGGCATTGTGGTGCACCAGCATAGGGTCTGACAATGGGCTCAGGATTTCATCCCGATACCTAATGGCAGTCAGGATGCCATTTTCTAGCTTGTACGGGGCTGTGCTTCCCTCCATGGATATGCCTCCCCAGACCATCACTGACCCACCACCAAAATGGTCATGCTGTACAATGTTACAGGCAGCATAACGTTCTCCACGGCTTCTCCAGACCCTTTCACGTCTGTCACATGTGCTCAGGGTGAACCTGCTCTCATCTGTGAAAAGCTAATGGTGGACCTGCCAATTCTGGTGTTCAATGGCAAATGTCAATTGAGCTCTATGCTGCCAGGCAGTGAGCACAGGGCCCACTAGAGGGCGTTGGGCCCTCAGGCCACCTTCATGAAGTCTGTTTCTGATTGTTTAGTCAGAGACTTACACACCAGTGGCCTGCTGGAGGTAATTTTGTAGGGCTCTGGCAGTGCTCATCCTATTCCTCCTTGCTCAAAGGAGCAGATACCAGTCTTGCTTGATGGGTTAAGGACCTTCTATGGCCCTGTCCAGTTCTCTAGAGTAACTGCCTGTCACCTGGAATCTCCTCAATGCTCCTGAGACTGTGCTGGGAGACACAGCAAACCTTCTGGCAATGGCATGTACTGATGTGCCATCCTGGAGGAGTTGGACTGCCTGTGCAACCTCTGTAGGGTCCAGGTATCACCTCATACTACCAGTAGTGACACCGACCCTAGCCAAATGCAAAACTAGTGAAAAACAGTCATAAAAGAGGAGTAGGGAAAAAATTTCAGTGGCCTCCACCTGTAAACCATTACCGTTTTCGGGGTCGTCTCATTGTTGCCCAGCTTGTGCATCTGTTGTTAATAAACACCAAAGCAGCTGAAACTGATTAAAAACCCCCTTTACTACTTAACTGACCAGATCAATATCCCAGGAGTTTAATTCACTTGATACTATACTCTGATTAAAAAGTGTTCCTTTAATTTTTTTGAGCAATGTGTTTTCCTCCTTACCAAAGAAAAGAAGTCTGTCATTTCTCCACATCACAGAAGGGAAACAACACAGGTACCCGGCTACAGAGTGAATGATCACTGTGATAGCCTATCACAGTGATCATGTGATTGGGATCCAGTTTCTCCAAGTCCTGATTGTTAGTATGAGACGCAGGGCTGGATCTAGGTGCTGGGAGCGTGCAATTGAGCACGCTTCCCACACAGAGGAACACATATAGGCAGCGCCCAGGATTAAAGCCCACTTCCTGGATGTCACATATTTGTGCTACATGGTCTTAAAAGCTAATACCAATTGTTCTTAAAATGTTCCCTCGCTCCTACCTGTCCTGAATGCTCTGTATAAAAAAAGATCTGTGCACTTTACCTAATTTTATTCCACTCTGGTCTGGTCACGTAAGCCTGCACCTCTGGCTCCCCTGTGTAAGGGACTGATTGACAACAGCTGTAAATACCTGGAGGCATGACATCACTTATAGACTCTCATAACCCAGCTGTTGTTGCTCCCTCCTCTCCCCTGCAGCAGCCACTCATTGACACAGGGAAGCCAGATCTGTAGTAACACTAGATTGTTCTAGAGTGGACTAGGTAAGTACAAATATTCTTTTTTTTTTTTTTATACAGGATAGGTAGGCAGAGGGGGCAGGGAACATTTTTAAGAATAGTTCGTATTAGCCTTTTCTTCCACTTGAAAATAATTATTATTATATTAATATTATTATTATTATTATTATTATACAGGATTTATATAGCACCAACAGTTTGTTCAGTGCTTTACAATATTATATCACAAGTATTTATTTTAATTTGCCTAGAAGTACATTTATGAGAGCAAAAACTGAAAACAAAGACTACATTGTGCTTTTGTTCACTGGCATGCCATCTATATAATGCTTGTTATTTGACACTTATTATGGGAAAGGTTGCTAACCCCAGATTTATACAATGATGAGATGTGAATGTGCTCAAATGTGATTAATAAGTCCGGACATGTCTTGTTAACTATACACTCAAATTTACGCTAACTCCTAGCTTTGCATCAATTTGGATGTAGTTATTATTTGAGATGGAATAATTTCCAGTACTTTATAAATAAGTCCCACATTACACTGTGATCTGCTAACAATCTTGTCTGTAATTTACAGTGGAGTCAAAACTTTTCCGACCAAGGCGCCCACGCTCCAGCAGTGATGCCCTGTCTGCTTCCTATAATGGGGATCTGCGCGATGGATGTAACCGCTGTAATTCTTATGATAATCTACCACATGATCAGGACAGCGATGGTGATGAAGGACTTATTCACGTACCTGCTATGTTAAGTTCTCGTTCTCATGATGATGAGGATCTGAGTCCACCTGATATTGGTGTGGCCAGTTTAGATTTTGATCCAATGTCCTTCCAGTGCAGCCCACCAAAGCTGGACAGTGATGGGCTGGATAGTAACAATCTGTTCCATATTGACACCACTCCAAGCAGCAGCAGAGAGAGATTTCAGATTGGAGCCCAAACACCTGCCAGTGGCAACAGCTCTGAGCCCATGTCCCCTTTCCAGGAGAGGCTGATCAGTCCTTTCCTAACACCTGATCGCAGTCCCAGTGCGGAGAAGATTCCAAAAGGCCCATCCTTTGCTGAGAAAGTTGTCCAGGCTCTGTCCCCAAAGGTGGGTCGCAAAGCCGTCCGATCTCCACCCCTTACCATTTCAGACCCAGTCACAGTTACACTGCCCAGCCGGGTGTCAGAAATGATTGGAAATATGCAGTTTGCGGGTGGAATTTCTCAGTCTCCTATATGGTACAAGGAAAGTGTAATCAGAGATTTGGGGACTCTGCAAGCTGCTGTATCTAAGTCAGGAGACTTTGGACTTGGCCAACTCTCTATATCAGCAGCACAAGAATCTCCATGGACGTTGGACTCTACACTCATCTCTCAATGGAACAGTGGTGGAGCTGAGAGAGAAGATACCACAGGGAACATTTCACCAGACACATCTCATGTTATATGTAGCACGGACCTAGTATATACTGACAACAGCAACCAGGAATTCAACTCCAGTAACAAAGCTGGATCATCTCAAAGAGGGGAAACTGAATTGTCAGGATTAGAGCAGAACAAGTCCATCCTCACTGTGCCTACATCTCCAGGTATGTAGCAGTCCACTCAAAAACCTGATGGTTCACTTCTACAACTTTTATTTTGGAAACAAGACATTTGTCATCTGCTGGTGTGTACATGTGTCTAATCTCTGGCAATGAAGGAAATGCTAAAACTTGTCAAATGTAATGCCATTGCTTTTAACCAGTCACAAATGGTCGTAGACCTGCTGCTGCTAGTGTATATATATGTGACAGCAGAGCGGTAGACTTTAGCTGTCCCCATATAAGCGCACAGCCAGCACCAGCATTTTCTGTGAAGTGTGCTCATTCAGAACCCCAGCAATGTCACTGACAGCTCCAGGTCACTGTTTACAAAGAGGAAATAATAGGAAGGGCTCCCAATCAACTGATCACTGTGACAACAAATCAGTAATCACATGACTGGGAAGACCAGCAAATGCCTTCAACATCAAAGAACCCTCTAAATAGCCAGCAGGAGAGCATGGTGAGGCGTTAAATAAAAATCTTCCCTCTTACTCTTTAACCTATTGTTGCCTGCGCAACATGTGAAAAAGGGTGGGCTTTAACATCCACACGCTGCACATATGCGTCACTGGTTTCTGTGCTGAGAGCGCACTTATTCTGCTAATGATCGATAGCCTGTGGGATTGTCTCATGTGACCACTGTTAGAGCCAATCACAGTGGCCATATGATCACTGATCCTTCCTGTCCCCTCTGGGTGTACAGACCTTATTAAAAGGACACGCTGGGTAGGAAGGGGTGAGAGAGGAATTCTATGTGTAGATATTTTATACATAGTTACTGTGATCTAAGCTGGCCCAGAGTAACTATGTATAAACCATACCTTGCTAGCTGGAAATCCCTGAACTCCAGTGATCTGCATTTCCCAGGTCTTATGTTGAGCAGCTGGCCTCATGTATTCTGAACACAGGAGGTCAGCCATTCAGCACAGGTGCAATTCAGTGGATGCTTTGCATTCTGTGAATGAATGCAAAGCGTTCTCTGATTGGACAAGGTAGAGAGATCATGCTGTTCACCTCATCCAGTCAGAGAACCTTTTGCATACATTCAGAAATGCAAAGCATTTGCAATTAGAAATTGTAAGTAGCCATTTCAGTAACAGTCTGTATTAACCCTTCATGACCTGGCCATTTTTCAGTGCTGTGATACTGACTGGCAATTACGCTATCATACAACACTGTACCTAAACAAATTTTATATAGTTTGTTTTGATAAATACCATCCGAAAGAAAGTTCTAATATAAGAATAAAATATGAAAATAAAACTTAAAATAATTAATGGTTTAAACACCCCCAAAATAACTCTTTTGAAAAAAGTAAACACCCCAGGTTGATTTAATTTTTTTTGCCACAATTTTTGGAAAATTAAAAACCTGCTGGTATTATTATTATACAGGATTTATATAGCGCCAACAGTTTGCGCAGCGCTTTACAATATAAGGTAGACAGTACAATTTAAATCCATTTCAGTACAGAAGGAATATGAGGGCCCGGCTCCTGAAGCTTACAATCCAAGGGGGTTAAAACATGGGACTTGGTATTGGCGTACTAGTTACATCACATACAAGTCATACACAGAGGGAGGAAGTGGTGTACTGTATTCAGGACCGATTCATTCATTAGTTGCTTTTCCTTCATTGTAAGAGGAAGAGGAGGGCTCACAGCTGTAAGCGGTTTGCATCATGTGATCTCTGTAATTTGTCTATTAGTGGCCAATCACAGTAATCTTAGGCACAGAGCCACATGGATTGGCACTGTACACAGTGTCTGTGAACCTAGCTCTTCTAGGATGGCTAAGTTCTCCGACATTAATGAGTGCAACTGTTGCCTGGCGGTGCTTTATCCACTGCCGTTCCTTTTGTAAACAACCCTCCATCACTTTGCCTTTTAACCACTTGCCGTCCGCCCTATAGCAGATTTACTGTTACAGGGCGGACTTTCTGTGCAAAATCATGTATATAAACATGATTTTGCACTTCCACCACGGGGGGGCGCAAACCTGCTGCTGGATCACGGCTTCTGCTGAGATTGGACACAGCAGAAGCCAATCAATAATTGATCTCTAAGAAGACTGAAATAACACAGCTTTCCCTATGTACAAGGCAGAGCTGTGTTATATCAACAGCGATCTGCTAGATTTTATTCAGGGAATACATTTTAGCAGATTACTATGTGCTGTTTTTACTAGGCAAACACGAAAACACTGGCTAGGCACACAATTAACCATTTGATCGCCCTAGAGGTTTAACCTCTTCCCAGTTAGTGTCATTAATACATTAACAGTGTATATTTTTAGCACTGATCGCTGTATTAGTGTCACTGGTTAACACAAATTGTCAGTGTCAGACTGTCCACCACAATAGCACAGTCCCACTATAAGTTGCTGATCACCAGCATTACTAGTATAAAAAAAAACCATTCCAGTATATATACCGCCATTTGTAGACGCTATAACTTTTGTGCAAACCAATCAATATACACTTATTGAGATTTTTTTTTTTACCAAGAATCTGTAGCAGAATACATTTTAGCCTAAATTTATGAGTACATTTTTTTATTTTTTACTTTTTTTACTGGATGTCTTATAGCAGAAAGTAAAAAAGTTTTTAAAAATTCCGTCTTTTTTCAGTTAGAGCACAAAAAATAAACCCAGAGCTGATCAAATACCACCAAAATAAAGCTCTATTTGTGGTGAAAAAAAAATGATATAAGGATAATTTATGTGAGGTGTTGCATGACCGCGCAATTGTCAGTTAAGATAATGCAGTGCCGCATCGCAAAAAATGTGGTGGTTAACAGCTTCACTACTGTAGTATGTCTTTAACCACTTGCCTACCGGGCACTTATACCCCCTTCCTGTCCAGCCAATTTCCAGCTTTCAGCGCTGTCACATTTTGAATGACAATTGCGCGGTCATGCAACAATACCCATATGAAATTTTTATAATTTTTTGGTGACAGAGCTTTATTTTGGTGGTATTTAATCACCTCTTTTTTTTTATTTTTTCTTAAACCAAAAACCACCTAAAATTTTGAAAAAAAAAAGCTTTTTTTCTTAGTTTTTGTTATAAAATTTTGTAAATAAGTGATTTTTCTCCTTCACTGATGGGCACTGATATGCTGCACTGATGGACACTGATAGGTGGCACTGATGGGCACTGATGAGGCACTGGTAGGTGGCACTGATGGGCACTGAAAGGCAGCACTGATATATGGCACTGATAGGCAGCACTGACGGGCACTGATAGGTGACACTGGCAGCACTGATAGGTAGCACTGATTGGCATTGATAGGTGGCACTGATGGGTGACACTGAAAGGCAGCTCAGATGGGCACTGATATGTGGCATTGATGTGCACTGGTAGGCACTGATATGTGGCATTGATGGGCACTGGCAGGTGGCATGGATGAGCACTGAGAGCTGGCACTGATGGACACTGGCAGGTGGCACTGTGCGGCTACACTGATCATCAGGGCACACTGATCATCAGTGCCCTGATGATCTGTGTACATGTCCCCTCCGCGGAAAGCCGATTACTGGCTCTCCTCTCGAGCTGTCAGCGTGACAGCTCGTGAGGAGTAAAATGTCGTAACCGGCATTTCCCTGTTTACATGCGATCACATGATCATCTTCGTCTCTTTCCGTGGATCGGTGATCCGCTGTGTCCGAGGGACACAGCGCACCGCCGATCGCCGCGCTGTGCACTCCTGGAGCCACGCATGCGCGGTGAAAATGGGAGGGCGTCATATGACGTCCTCCCAGAACGAGAGAACTGCCTTGCGTCTGTCTTTGGACTATATGGCGGGTGGGAGGCGGTTAAACAACCAGTCAGGGCGCAGTTATCCTGAATGGACTTTTAAAAATGTTCACCATTGGTGCATATGCCTGCTGTGTGCACAGGGCTTGTGGTTGTGCTGTCATTAGATCATAGCCAAAATGGACAGAAACAATTAGAGTGGCTCTGCATTGTGACTGTTGTGATTGGCCATCACAGTAACCTATGGCCTAAGCACCACGCTAGCCATGCCCTCTGGGCTTGGTCACAGAGGCCTCTGATGGGCGGGGTGAAACGTGTCAGAGGGTGTGGCTGGTGAGGTGCTTAGGCCATTCCAAACACCCAAAACACCGGTCTTCTGGGGCTGGTTCTGAGTGGCGTCTGCTTCCCCTTACCTCACTCTAGAAACTGACCTTCCTGTTCACGGTTTTCTTTGCAATGTACACTGACCTGTGAATCTCGTGGTACATTCTCAGCATGGGGCCCATGTGCTGGGATGAATGAATTTCTTTACTGGTATTCTGCACCAGCCAATCAAAAAATGCCAGCGAGGGACTTTGCAGATGATGGATCTCTACAGCATATATATTTTCAAAAGGGTGATCCTTTTCTGTGAATACAGTCAGGTCCATAAATATTGGGACATTGACACAATTCTAATATTTTTGGCTCTATACACCACCACAATGGATTTGAAATGAAAGGAACAAGATGTGCTTTAACTGCAGACTGTCAGCTTTAATTTGAGGGTATTTAAATCCAAATCAGGTGAACAGTGTAGGAATTACAACAGTTTGCATATGTGCCTCCCACTTGTTAAGGGACCAAAAGTAATGGGACAAAATAATCATAAATCAAACTTTCACTTTTTAATACTTGGTTGCAAATCCTTTGCAGTCAATTACAGCCTGAAGTCTGGAACACATAGACATCACCAGACACTGGGTTTCATCCCTGGCGATGCCAGGCCTCTACTGCAACTGTCTTCAGTTCCTGCTTGTTCTTGGGGCATTTTACCTTCAGTTTTGTCTTCAGCAAGTGAAATGCATGCTCAATCGGATTCAGGTCAGGTGATTGACTTGGCCATTGCACAACATTCCACTTCTTTCCGTTGAAAAACTCTTTGGTTGCTTTTGCAGTATGCTTTGGGTCATTGTCCATCTGCACTGTGAAGCGGCATCCAATGAGTTCTGAAGCATTTGGCTGAATATGAGCAGATAATATTGCTCG